TAGCAGCATCTACACCACAGCTTGAATGTAGTGCTGTTTTCAAATTTCCTGCACTAAATGGTTTAAGTAATCCATGGCCCTTAGTCTCAGTCTTCCAAAAAGTCTCAGTACACGGGAAAAATATAGACAAACTTTCTACCACAGCATAAAGCTCATAGCCTGTAGTTCAAGTTCCAGTACAGTCCTTATTCCCAACTGAAATTGCTTGAACTTGGCCATTACTGTCCTCATTCTTATCAGCATTCTGATCTTCTTAACTCTGACTAAAATCATTCATCAGCTTCTACTTAATACATGCTAGGGTTCCTTTAGCCAACAACTTCAAACCTTTCCAAACTCTTTACACACATTTCCAAACTTTCAACAAACCAGTTCCGTGGATTTCTAAACCACATTATCAGGTAGTTACAGCAATGATCTCATTTCTCCAGTGCTAATTTTCTGTATTGCCTTTCACATTACTAAGACACAATATGCAACACCCACAACTTGAAGAAGTTTAAATTGCTTGTGGTTTCAGAGTGATCAGTCCACAACAAGCTGGTTGCAAGGCAGAAACATCATGACAGGAGAAATAGAGCAAAGCTGCTTAGTTCAGGCTGGTTGAGAAACAGAACAAAGGAACAGTACTGGAGAGGAATGGGCTAGCGCTCATTATTGTACCCAAAATCGTGCCTCCATATCCCACATAGACACTCACAGTACTGTGCTTTACTAACCTACTAGGCATTTCTTTATCAAATGAAGTTGACAAGTCAAAATTGATGGTCATAAACAACCTACAAAAATGTTCCCAAACTAATATGTCCAGAAAATTTGTCAGCTCAAAATCGGATTTGAGAGTCATGGCTTTCATCCTACTTCCAGATCTAGGCAAGTTGATAGACCTTGGGTCTTTTGATTGAAGAAGAGATGAGGTCCCCTTAAGGAAAAACCCTTTGGCACTGTCATACGTAAAGGCTGTAAATTTTCCTCCAAGCTCTTCTCAGAATAACCCAAACACTGATTGCCCTGACTTACTTGGGTGCTTGAGAAAAACAAATACTGGAGATTTTTCTCTAATTGGAAGATGTCACTACACAGTAGAGATGAAAGAAACATAAATATTATCCCCAGACTTCCCAATTTACAAGGAAATTAGGGGGCAAGGAGATTAAATGATTTGTCCACATCAGAGCCAGAACTCAAAGCCAGTGTTCATTTCTCCACTTCATGTCTCTGACACGGCCATTAAAATGAATGCACGTTGTAGCCTATTGCTTCAAGGGACTTTGCACTGTTACAATAACCAAGCATCTGACTCCTCTGTTACAGTTTGGAGATTTTTAGTTATAGCTTTAATTTTTATCTCCCTTAGATACAATTGTGATGGTATGATATACAAATATCTTTAAATACTTTGAATTTCAATGCCAAGAGCTCAGTGGAAATCACTTTATACTACCAATGCCCTGTATTCATACTTTTAATTCTTCAAAACAGAATTCTGACTCAGCATGGATTGGAAATGTAAAAGTGAGTGAAGATTACGGCTTGTGTTATTCAACTTTTCATTGTTGTGACCAAACACCTGAGGAACACAACCCAAAAGAAGACATTTTGGCTCACAGTTTTCAAGAAGTCAGTCAATGCTCACTTGACTCCATTTTTCTAGTCCTGTGGAAAGGCACAATCATCATGGCAGAAGGGTGTGGTGGAGGAAAGATGCTCAGCACATGGCAGTCAGAAAACCGAATAAAAGGGAAAGATCCGGAAAGAGCCAAAGACAAAAGTACATCATCCAAAGGCGCATCCTCAATAACCCATTTCATCCAGTTAGGCCCTGTACCCCAATAACCCACTGAGCTATGAATTCATGAATAGATTAATCCACTTAAGGAAGTTCGAGCTCTCATGATCCACTCAGTTCCTTAAATCTTTTCTAGGGCAACAAAGCTTTCAACACAGTGAGGCTCTTGGGAAACATTCTGGATCCCCACCCTAACTGGACTTAAAAAGGAATGAATAACGGACAAAATCTGATTTAAGATATATAAAACAAATACATCTCTTCCATTCCTTATATCAATTAATTTGTTGCAGTTATCACTGTATTCATCATCAATATAAATTAAACTTGTTAAACTAGTGAGAGGCTTATTTCGCTTTCACTTTATTCCATCTGCTAAGTATGCACACACAAAGTATAATCAGTTAATGTAGTTAACACTTAAATTTTAAAATTGTTGCAGTATTACAATAAGATATGATCGTTAATCCCCCCAAGATACTCCCCTTCAGTTTGAACACACATCCCATCATTCTTGCCACTTTCTGAAGAAGTTCTGGAAGACCACTTTCCTGAGTGTATTTACAAA